ATAGTTTTCTACTTGTATTATTATAGGGGTGAACCAAAGACGTGGTATGGCGTACCCGGTACAAGTGCTGAGAAGTTGGAAACCTGTTGGTAAATCAGCTCCATATTCAACCTTGACTGAAGCTGTTGGCGAAGCCAGCACTCGCCAGAATTCTTTTTCAACTTCTTCACATGTGATATCCTTTCAACGACAGAAAAAAAAAATAATAACAACAGATCGCACGATAGAGTAACTTACATGCGATTGCTTTTGAAAATATTCTTGTTTGAAAGTGTCTGCCATTTTTCCGAATTCTTGCAATGTGTATTGTTTACGAGACTGCTCAAAACCATAGGCATCTAATGGACACGCTGTCTGATATAACTAAAAATACGGAATAGAAACACTTGCTTCTCAAATAGTAATAATGGAGTCCTTAAGAAAAGCTTTGGTTTAGTCAAATCTAAAGATCTTTCTTTCGTATTATTTCTTTGTACATACTTGCGCCACACACTTTGGACACCTCCATTGCCCTCTTGGTATTTCAGTTAATGGCGGAATAAGACAATATGTATGATAACAATTATCACATAAATCACAAATTAACAAATACGCATCATCATCACCACGATTACAAGATTTACATAGAAAACTATCAAACTAAAGTGATCAATGTTAAAATATAATGAAGATGTGTCTGCATAAAAAAACATACTGGATCTTCTATAATTGTTTCATTTCTTTTTCCAGTGTTACGTGCAGCTGTTGAAGAAGATGATATGGGAGCAACTGGTTCATCTAGAAAGCAAAAGAACTAACACTAGGTTCAGGTCTATGAGTTAGAAATACTATACTTTTCTTGATGTGCGTAGTAGTGAATGGTGGTACAGCTGTTTTTGGGCCAGGATCATGAAACTGTAATTTTTTCAATTCCGGACTTGCTGTATAATCAATTTGAAACTAAAAAAATATAAATAAAAGTACATTGAGAAGTAGAATCTACAAACAAGTACACACATATACAAAGCAAGTGTTTAGGTCAAACACTAAACTAGAAATCTATTAGATGTAAACAACACTAGAAATGTCATACAAAAAATCATAGATAACTGCAAGGATGAAATGCTATTAACAAATATTTCTCATAGATTTAGATAACTTTCCATACTTTAAGAAGAAGAGGGAAACATGAGAAAGAACGACTAACTAGCAATGTTAATATGTGGCAAATCTAATAAATAAAAGATCTCGTACAAATATATCTGCACACACACAAAAGCATTAGTATTGGGTTGAAACTGCTGTTGATTAGGTATATTCTTCGACTCACATCTGATTCATCATTTCTTCTTCGAAGTGGCGGATTCGAAAGAAGGGGCGCAGATTGTTTTGGTAGTAATATCTGTTAAAGACCGATACAATTATAATAATAATAGCTTAACGTTGAAGGTGTCCTTACATCTGCGCTCGTGTCTTGTGAAGACGTTTCTTTTGATGCTTGATAAATGCCGGCTTCATAGACGTCGTATGATAATAATAATTTTTCATAATGTTGTTTTAATGTGCGGCTTGTTTGTGCATCGCGAAATAACATTTTACGTGAGATCAATGACCACTTCTTTTGTGAACAGCAAACATCATAGCCACCTTCATCTTTGACGATCTAAACAGAGAGAACATCGTTATTTTGAATGATTCTGAACATTGTTTCGCATATAAAAATTATTATCTAAGAGTTTTGTTGACAAAATTAAAGAAAAACATTTTAAAAAGTCAGACCGCGTAAAAAAAATTGTTATAAACAATAAGATCCTGGTTCAATTCAAGTGTTAACAGTTATCTTTTGATAGAATTCTAATTTTAAGAAGATTATACTTCTTAAATCTACATGTGAAACATAAGCACAAACAGCTAGTTAATTTGTTTGGAAAAACAATAAGTTTTCCAAGGCAAATATCACAAACAACTGAGCTAGAATAAGAATGTGAGTTTAGACGTGCACATTTCTTACTTTGTGTAGTTTGGCTAAATCTAATGTTTGTTTTTCAACAGTTGGTATTTTCAATTTGATTCCTTGTGAATCGAATAGGCGAGTTAATCTTTCATAAAATGTTAATTTTATACGAGTTCCAGCTTCTAATTCATTGATACGCTGAATACGGGGAGTAAATTTAAAATTATCAATTTGAACACAAAATGGAGGCTGCCAATCCTAAAAAGATAGAGAAAAAAATAAGTAATTATTGTGCTTTGTACATAATCAAAAGCAGAAAACTGTGTTCATCTATACTATTGCTGAAAATAGGCTAATTTAACACTTATTACACAGGAAAGTCTTCTTGTCAAACCCTGGTCTACATTTGCTTCTGATTCAAGCCGATTATTAAATAAGGCCCAGAGACAATTGTTTTCATTTGTTTTTGATCGCTTACTTTCGGTGGCACAACTTTACATATTCCTGTTCTGGAAGCGATAGGTCGAATTTTTTCTATATATTCTAATGGGTCTTGAAATTCATCGTATGTTGGATAAAACACAGGTGCTTCAGGTGGAGGCATAAAGACAAATTCTGATGTTGTCATCGTTCATGAGAATTAAGATCTAAAACAAATATAGAAACGGGTTTACTATTAGAAATGTTTACAGTTTCGTTTCTTTTACGACTCACATAGATTAATTCCTATACATGATAAACAGCGAAAAAACTATGGGTTTTTTTCCGGCAGAACAGAAGTCAAATCTTAAAACAATGAACAAGCAAACAATATGAGTGGATACTGAAAATTTTTATAAAAAGCTTAGCTTCAATAAGATGTTGGTTTCAATTACATACAACTATATCTACCATTTATTTGTTCTTTTTCACTCACCCTCTTACTATTGGTGGGTTCATTTGTCAATAACGTAGTTCAAGGACGAGTACATTATCATTAAGTCGATCTATATGGGTCAGGGCAGTTGTATATACACAGACATCAGTTATAAGAAAGTTAAAAAATGTTCTGATGAATAAAATAAGTATCGACCCCCTTCAACTTTTCGGCATGATCTTTTACTACAATGAGTTAAAAAAATACTGTTTTTGTTTTTTCAGTTAAGTCATTTCTTAGCATATGCTATAGTTTTTTTTAGCAATATTTTACTTAAGAAAAATAGTCTGTAGACTCCAAGTTCATTATTAAGTGTTGAACTTGAATTCTCGATATATCAGAAAAAATCAAATATAAATTATCGTTCATTGAAAACGTTTTTGTTAACATAGATACTTTACCTATTAATCATACGTTACTTACTTAATCATATAGACAGGCGAAAAAGTGAATTTTTTTGTCGCTGTGCTCACGGTTCACTATATTTGAAACAAAAGTGGTTTTTTTTCAAAAATTTGTGTCTTCATAGGTAGGTTATGTGTCTGTAGTTGATTCATCAATGCTATCACGTTCATTAACTTTAGCATAGATTTAAGCCAATATCTTTTTTGCAGTAGTGTCGTTTTTATTATTGATTTAAGCCACGTTTGTCCTTGTCTCAAGATAATGGTTAATTAAGTCATTTTTTCATGAAGTTAAGTTAAAGAGGAAAATATGCAACTATCATTTATAAAAAAAGAATTCTAGCACAAATTAACTTATATACATGGGTAAGTTTAGGAGACAATGTTTGTACTATCCCAAAAAAAGTTTTCTTATTCTGTTATCTAGTCAATAAACACTCATTTTTATTCAATTTGTCACAGTCTACTGTTCAAACTCAAAGATTTATAGCCAGAAACTAAAGCACGATAAATATGCAACTCTAATGAAAAACAAGGTAAGAGCAAGTATCATTATTTGCTTTGAAGAATTACAAACATTATTTGTAACAAAAATCTCTCCATGATGCATCTTGTATTACAATTCAAGTATAGTGCAATTCAATTATAGATTATTAATAAAAATCGTGGCAAACGCAAACATCATTTGTTCTCTCAGACAACATGTAAAGATATAATTCATATCAATTTGCTAACAGTTGAGTAGTATTTGTTTGTACATTTATTTAATAATTTTATTTTGTATGACGATGGATTATCATTGGCTACGATTATTTCACCAATTGTCTCTAGTAGAAATTAACTGTATATATTCAATAAAATCGTGAATGTAGTATAGAGGGCCTATTTAAAGTTGCTTTATGAAAGCTGCTATCATTTCGCTCAAATGTCGTGCTTTAAATTATTTGATAGACAGCGTATTTCAACGAATGATGGCCACCATTTTTGGGTATCTTTACTGATGAATATGGAAGACTAACTTTGAACACTGCAAAAATGCAGACGGGTGAAATATAAGTTACTTTTTGAATTTTTTAGCAAAAGGATTCTATTCACAAATTTCCTTGCATGTTCAGTTATGGATCCGAATCAGAGATCAGTTTTCTCGTTGTTTCATGAATTAAAAATATGAACACCTTTATTGAATTAATGGAATATGTTAGTTTAAGTTATTAATTTGCGCAAAGTAAAATAAAAATGAATTTTTCGCACTAGGAACATGCACCCTTGAACTGGATAATAATTCTTATATGTAAGAGTTTTTTTGCGACAACTTTTGGGTCAAGGTATTGCCGGAAACTATTTCTCCATCGTTTTTCCAATAACTTTTTTATAAGAAGTTCCTGGAGCCAATCCAATGACTAAACGATATCAAATTTCCATGAGTAACTTGATTCAAAATTTGCTGCTTACACAACAATCAACTTTGACGATGGAGAGGCCGTATCTGCGGTCAGTTTTGATCGAACATACTTTTAAAATTTCTCGTACAGGTTGACGAAAAACTGCACAAAGTATTATTGTGTTTCACGACTAAAGTATCACAATATATGAATGTTAGCTTTCGTTCTCAACTACGATCATCTTAAGTAACGACATTAAACAGTTTTTCATTGTATAAAAATATTTTTTCACAATGTGCAAAAGGAAAGGCAAGTAAAGAAAACCAAAAAATTGTATTTTTCGAGAAATTGTTTATTATTATTATCCTACTGACCGAAGATGATCATAGCTGAGATCGAAAGCTCGCATTTTTGTATATTTTTAATATTTTATTTGTGAAATAATATGATATTTTTACATTTTTATATTTCTCTTTTAATTTGACATTTGAAACTACTTCACTTGATGGCTTCTTTATGATCCACGTATCAGAAATTTGTTGTGGAAACTGTGGGTCCAATTTCGATGAAACTTTCGTGTTGACCGAGTCAAAATCTGATAACCAAAGCTTTTTTGACTTCAACTGTCTACTTTCCAGAGATGCTGCCACAATTAGAACCAAAACGAGAGTCTTGGCTATATGACTATGAAAGCGCGCAAAAAGATCTCCATACTTCAAAGGTTATTCAATAATCGCTAACAAAATTGAACAATTTTTCTCGATTCATTGTCCCCCTTCTTGACAAACAATATTCAGCCTACGCGATTGAGTCCTAAAGATTCGTAGTAATGTCGAAATAAGACTGGATAGTCATCTGTCTCCTTTTAAGACGAATAGGCCCGACTATTTCGACACCGACTTATGCCGACATTTTTTTTAATATGTATGCGCTGTCTCTTATCACAAAAAATCATCAGGTTAATGAATATTGCATAGATTCTGAAAAGCAGCCTTCTACAGCTTCCACTTTTTTCACTTGAAAAAGAAATGAAATAGTAGTTTGTCGAATTAGATCTAGTACCGCTTCCTCAGACATTGACAATCATAAGATAGACAAAATTTATGGTGTAATCCAAACCGCAAATAAAAATTTTTGAGAATGATTTTAACAATCTTGATATAACCGTTATTCTTTCAGAATACAAGTGGAAAAATATTCCATTATAGTATTCTAAACTAAAAAATCCAGTCTAAACACAAAATTAATTAATTTCGAATACATGAACTTAGTTTTGCAGTAAACTATTCACAATATTAAACCACATCATGTACATAAAATAATGAAAAAAATTTGCAACCACTTACAGAAATATGTCGAATACATTTAAAAACACGCAAGTCTATGAGAAACAAACTAAAATGCACAATATAATACTCTTCTTTCCAATTTATGCAATGGAATATATAACGAAGAAGTACTAGATACGAATACAAATTAAACTGACCACTAGTTTACCAAATAACAACAAATTACAAGTGCAATAGTAAAAGTAATAAAAAGGAGAAAAACGTAGATTCCAGAATCAGACAGCTTGTTGCATTCTCGCAAAAAACAGAAAAAAGAGAAAAATGCGTAGCACTTTTGAACTCTAACATTACACTGTTCTAAACAAAACTATTCTATTGTTGGTTCCCACTAGATAGTTTTTACGCTCTCACGATCGTTAAATTGTACTTAAAAAAATTTACGACAATGCATCAAAAATTATTAAACATGACATATACGAAACGGTTAAAATGTTATGTAGACTATATGTGAAAAAATAATGTCTTAAAAAATGTTATATATTAATTGGTTTTAATTCATTATTTAGATCTTGAGATTATTAATATTTTAATGATGCGTTTTTTTAATACATAGTCATATGTCAGAAATTGCACCAAGTATAGGATCTTAACGGATACTATTATGTTTACTACTATACGTTACCTTTAACCTAACAAAAAGTAACGCGAACATAAATGAATTTAGTACCATGATGCATACTGTTGCCTAGCGTATAATCATGCTTTAGTAAAAGGAACATATGTGTGATTGCAATACATTATAATTTCCTTCTTGAGTTATTATATTATAGCGCATGCACTCTAAAAAAAAATCGTGTTCTCTGAAACGCTTAACGGGTTTTCGAAAATGAAACGCTTATCCGTTTCCGAGCGCCCCTAAACCCTTTCCTGCTCCGAAAACCCATTTTCTTCGCGTTCAACTTATTCCTCGGAAACCGCCAAAGAAAAGGTTTTCGAGCTCTCGAAAACGCTTATCCGTTTCATCTAGTTTCATTTTCGGAAACCGTCAAAAGAAAGGTTTCCGAACGAATTTCATAAAAATACTTTATCTATCTTACCTGTTTTATTCTGTAGTCTGTAGGGCTATTACTATTACATTTTCGCATCTAGTCTGATGAAAGGACAATAAACATTCATCATTATTATTCGCTCCAGGTGAGGCTTCCCATTAGCGATAAAACCGGAGATATACTGAGGTATTTCATGCCTTAATAAGCGTTGCTTCATTTCCTACTCAAGTTTTTGCAAGAGACAAATTGTCGATACTCTAACAATCAGCTTTTGTGATGCGACTGAACTTTGCATCATAGATAAAAGAACTTAAAAGAAAGAGTTCTCTCGAAAACGCAAATTCCAAAACCG